TAGCCTTTTAATATCCTACAATAAAATATGTTGCGATAATACATCTTGAAAGCTCTTATTATCCCAATATCACAAGGTTGAACCTCAAAACACTCTTTAAATTAATAAATATTAATTTATCGATTAAATAATATCTCTACAAAATAATAATATTTCATAGTCCCAACTATATTAATTTAGTAAGGTTTAATTTAAATTGTAATATATGGCTTGTTAACCCAGAGTAACAATTGAATTTGTATAGTGTCGTCAAACAAATAATGATACTAACTCACTATGTGAAAGCAATGTTCAATAATAATGAGCAAACCAAAGTAACTCAATATATATTTAGTATGATATTTTACAACACTGGATGTCCATTAGTAGATAATGTGCCTAGTTAAAACCTCACTAGAAAAAGCCCATGGGAAAAAAGTGATCTCTCTGAACTGCTTTGGTTGTTTGTTATTTTAGTAAGCTTGTCTGCTAAGGTAACTCAATATATATTTAGTATGATATTTTACAACACTGGATGTCCATTAGTAGATAATGTGCCTAGTTAAAACCTCACTAGAAAAAGCCCATGGGAAAAAAGTGATCTCTCTGAACTGCTTTGGTTGTTTGTTATTTTAGTAAGCTTGTCTGCTAAGGTAACTCAATATATATTTAGTATGATATTTTACAACACTGGATGTCCATTAGTAGATAATGTGCCTAGTTAAAACCTCACTAGAAAAAGCCCATGGGAAAAAAGTGATCTCTCTGAACTGCTTTGGTTGTTTGTTATTTTAGTAAGCTTGTCTGCTAAGGTAACTCAATATATATTTAGTATGATATTTTACAACACTGGATGTCCATTAGTAGATAATGTGCCTAGTTAAAACCTTATTAGGAAAAAGTGATATTTCTAAACTTCTTTGGTTGCTTGTTATTTTAGTAACCTCATCTGCTAACATTATTTTTTTATGGTATCCACAATTTCTTCTAAGTTGATCTCTGAACATGTATCATTTTCACCTGAGTAATTCAATAGGTTATTGACGTCCATTTTCATGGGGTAACCGAGAACATTAATTATGACCTCAAGTTTGTGAATGACATTTTCACAAGTGGGTTCATTCAAATTCTTTGAGATTTCATCCTCCGAACAAATTTTGCAGTATCGAAAATAATTTACTTTTGTCTCTTGATGAACAATTGTCGTTCAAGCCGGGATTGCAAACTTGATAGCATCCAAAACATTAATCTTTTCTGAATTAGTTTATCTCACTTTATAGCCTTTTAATATCCTACAATAAAATATGTTGCGATAATACATCTTGAAAGCTCTTATTATCCCAATATCACAAGGTTGAACCTCAAAACACTCTTTAAATTAATAAATATTAATTTATCGATTAAATAATATCTCTACAAAATAATAATATTTCATAGTCCCAACTATATTAATTTAGTAAGGTTTAATTTAAATTGTAATATATGGCTTGTTAACCCAGAGTAACAATTGAATTTGTATAGTGTCGTCAAACAAATAATGATACTAACTCACTATGTGAAAGCAATGTTCAATAATAATGAGCAAACCAAAGTAACTCAATATATATTTAGTATGATATTTTACAACACTGGATGTCCATTAGTAGATAATGTGCCTAGTTAAAACCTCACTAGAAAAAGCCCATGGGAAAAAAAATGAAGCGTCCAACTTCTGCTGAACTAGATGTTTTCAAATTTGTAAAACAAATGTGCATCACATCCAGTTCAATTAGAAAAATCTTCAAGAATAGATGAACTAGCTTGAAGACTTGAGAGTCTTCACTAATAGTTTCATCCCAAAGGAAGAGTCCAACTCTCTCAGCCATAGGTTGAAACTGAGGTAAGACATATTCAACAATCTTGTGCTCAATGCAACCATTCACTATCAACCCATGGAAATCTCTCATGTTGCCACACACATTCTGAAGAATCTCATATGGATAAACCTTTTCAGCAAGAAACTTGGATAGATGATGGAGATTCAGAAGGAGGAAGTTCAACTGCTCCTCAGTAATGATGGCACTTGATTTAGAACGCTGACATGAGCCGATACAATCATCCATATGATTGGCGAGGCTAAGAAGTGTATGATTCATGTAGTTGTATTTACACCCGATGTTGTTGTCAACATCATCCAAAATTGATCGAAGCAGATCTTTAACCTCTCTTTTTGCAGCATTCATTGTATCTTAAAATCTCTCCAAATTGAAATAAGAAAGCTGGACGTAAATACAAATAAATGCTAGCACAAATTTCAGATTTTCAATTTGATCGGCCATGTTAGCAGCTATTTGAGCTTTTTCATTCTTTAACCTATCCATGAAATTTAGAACATTGACAACATCCTTGCGAAGAGCAGAAAATGGCATCCGCCATAAGACCAAATGTCATATCAAAATTTCAAAGCAACAGACAGTTGGCTAATTAAATATCATCATGATGTTAAATTACTCTACTGCAAATTAAAGTTAGGATACCACGCCCTTACAGTCTATACATGATAGATAGAATCATGGAATCATGACAAAGGGAACGGTTCATTATATTTTGTATGACATACCGATGAGTTGTTTGCTTCCTCTTCCTCTCTTACTGTTTCATTATATTTTGCTTTTTCCATGATTGTATTTTTCCTTTCAAGTTCTCAAGACCTGATGCATATCAGGAAACAATATTGTATTTATAGTCAGTTGTAATAAACATAGTTGGATGGACTCGAAATAATCATGAAGAGACATTTAAAGGACGAATATTAAATTTGTAATTAACAATATGCAAAAATACAATTCCACCAAAAGTGAGAGTTAATAACTTTGGTGTTCACTCAACTATCAACTCTTTTCACAGAAAGTCACTCAGCTTTCATTTTCAATTCAAAAGTCACTCAACTATGAAAAGATAAAGAGGGGAGGTGGGTGGGTGGGGGAATTATATCATTATTACTAGTTCAGATAAGAAAAGAGAACAATTGATCATTGCTCTAATCAGTTTTGAAATATGTTTTAATATATAAATGGTAATAGTTCAAGTAGAAAAAAAGAAATTAAAAAAATGACAATTCAGGTGTATTTTTTGATCATTTAACTTTAAAATTTACATCATATATTAAAGGGAAAAGAAACTCAAATATACAAATTTTGAAAAAAGTTATCCGCCATTATGGATTAACAAAAAATCCATTCGATTCGTAAAATTATTTTGTCCACATGGTGAATGATGATTCAATCACGTCATTATTATTATTATTATTTAAAAAATAAAATTATAAACTCACCCAGATTATAAATGCCCAATGAATCCTTTAAAGATAAATGCCAAAGAGGAAAGTTTTGGGTAATAGTAAATTATAAGTTGCTAGTGTAATTTGATTCATAAATGTACTAATACTAGCTTTGTAATAATAATTGGACTATAAGAGATAGACAACGAATGAAATGGGATTTTCAAGTAAATTAAAAAATGTTGAAAATGAGAAAGAAGAAAAAGAGCACAAAACAACACATGCTCATCTACTCAAATTTTACATAATATTCACAAATAGATCAGTTGAGACTTTCATCAAACACACTTATACACATATTCCAAGATTGGTGTCAATTTCCGCCTGACCGATTCGATCAAATAGGGCTAATTCAATGGAATTCATAACCCTTTCAATCTTCTCCTTATTTCCTTGGTCGGGCAGGAAAGTTCTCACTTCTAGGAAGAGCCACATCAGGAAGGATGGTTGCTGAAATCAAAATCAAATAAAAATATGATAGCGGAATGGGTTAGAGCTATGTTCAGCTAGGTAAATCCGCGCAAACAAAAACCGTTTCTGATTAGGGATGATAATCGTAATGGTACCATAAGTAGGGACTCAAAGAAGATTGTAAACGACTGAATTAATCAGAACAACACATTATTTTGGTTTCTAAGCAGACACTGGCTTAGGCCTCGGCGTTACTCCAGTGTGTCTTCTGTTGTTTAACAGTTATTTTCTCATTTACAGTTAACTGCAACAATAACTATATTCTAACATAGTTTTTTTTCCCATCTGTTTTGTTAAAAGTGAATCCACAATGTCAAATTTGTATATCAGAAGCACTAAAGAATTAGCCACAAATGTATAGAACAAATAACTTGAAGAGTAAACATATGATATGCAAATAACTTGAAAGAACAAATCTTGGAACACAAAATGAAGAAAAAGGGAAGAAGTAATAAATTCATCTCTACTCACATATTTTCTTAGCGTACATGCATGGACCTGAAACTTGTCTTCTCCTGTCATATCTTCATTCAACTCTGATAATTCTTAATGAATAAATATCTCCAAAACTAGGCGGTAAATCTCACAATTCTGTAGATATAGTCAGACATATAAAATGTCATTTTCGATATATTGATCAAATGGCGCTTACAAAACATTATCCCCAAAAAAGGAGAAGAAGAGTAGTTTATAAGATAAAGAAGAAAGCAAAACCTATAACCATAAAGGTCAGGGGCAGATGTATATTGTCGAGACATAATATAAGGCCATGTATATTTCAAATATATTTCTCAAACAATGATATTTCTACTTAGTTTCAGTTGACACTTTCATCAAACACATTGTAGAAGAATCAGAACTCCAAAAGAATGGAGAAGAACCTGTTCACTTCAATAACGGGATATTCTTCCGGCCAACGACTTGAAGCTCATCTCCTCCCCTCATATCTTCAGCATGTTCCTTAATCTTCATTGCGGAATCTTTAAGTTGAGGGCTCTCTACAAGTTTGATAATTTTGAGTGACCAAATATACTCAAAACTAGGTGGAATCTCCTCAAGCTTATGACATCTCTCCAGTTCTAATTTCTCAAGCGCAGGAAAGGATTCCTCTCCAACCTCCCACTTGGAAAGAGTCACTTGATACAACTTCAAAAATTTGAGATTCTTAAAGGTGTCTTCCTCCCCCATGTTCCATTCTTCCCCATGGATGATTGTACGATAAAGGCACAACTTTTCAAGGTTGGGGATTCTCGCTATTGTTGATAGTGAATCAGATGTCAGAGGAAAGTCATACAGCTGCAAACGTTTCAAACTAAAAGGGAAGTGAAATCCCATGGCCGATTTATGGCTGCAGAGGACCCACTTTCATTTGTGTTTGAACTTTCAAAACCTACAGAGAGTTCTTCTAGTTCAGTTAGGCAATCCACTTTCGGGAACCAAAATTGCTCTGTTGAATAATCCCATGATTCCTTGAGTTCAAATGAAAGCACTTGAAGATTGGGAAGCCTTTTGAAAATATCCTCTGTATCTTTCCAATAGGAAAGCACGAGTTTATGTAATACTGTCAAGTTCTCTAACTTTGTGTCCTCTGCTATCAGTATTGATTCATCTGCATCCATATCAAAGAAAGAACAATTACTCACATACAGCCCTCGCAACTTTACAAGATCCCAAATTCTCGGTAATAGTATCAAGGTTGATTCTTCATTAACCACACACAAGATTTCTAGATTCCAGAGGTTTGAGAAAGACGAAGGCAGAGATTTAACTTCTGTCCCAATGCTTAAGTACCTCAAATGATTTAACATGCATATTTCATTCAGCAAAGAATCTTTCACCATAATAAAAGAGGGATTCAGGTTTAACCATCTAAGATGCCTCAAGTGTTTTAGGTGAAATGTATCAGAAAGATGGTCGTCCAGCTT